TAGAACTTTCTCTACCAGTTTAATGAATTTAAATATAATTTCGATATTATAAACCTGTAAACTGAAAATTAAGTAGCTCATTGAGAATTTATTTACTTTAATAAAAATCTTATGTTTTTATTAAGAACGTAAATTTTCATTAAATGTTAATTTTTAAGTACAAAATATTCATTTATAACTTTTAATGAATAATATTCATTTATTCAAGTTCATTTTACTTAAAAAGGGCAAAAAAAATTTAAATTATATTATTATCATTAACAGCGAAAATTTTACTCTCAAAAATGTAGAATATTCTCATAAAAATATTTCTTTCTAAAAATTTTTTCTCTCTTAATAATTTTATTTTTTTTCTTCAAGGAAAATAAAATATAATTCTATAAAAAAATGTAAAGCAAAATATTGATTTTTTTAAGTAGCACTTGTGCATGACTTATTAAGCATTTTCTTTTCATATATTAATTTTTATTTTAATAAAGGTTAACAAAGTCTTTTTTTATCCAATTCTCTAGTTTTTAATGTTTTATTTCATGTTTTCATTTTATTTTTTTCTTGTTTTTTATATTGACATGAAAATTTTTCATAATACAAATGAAGATTTTTAGAAATTCAATCAATTAATTTTTTTCTTTTTCCATTTATAATACGATACTAATCAGTCAGTGATAGTATATCTAAAGCCCTTTCTGCTGAAATATTATTTCGATAAGCATTCAATATTTTATCACTACATTTATATCTCATTTTATTTTCTTCATTTAATAAAACATTATCTTCAATGTTTGACACAATATTAGCGATATAACATTTAATATACATGCCCATTAAATAAACTAAATCAACATGACTCATCATTACTTCACCAGATGTGTAATGTTCTACAAGTTCTTTAATATAAGATGAATTTTTTTCTGATATATCACCCTCTGCTAACATTCTTTCGTGTTTTAATCTAATTTTTTTTTGTAATGTATCTTTATTAATCAAAGACTTACTGGAATCATACTATGAGATTAAAAAAAATTGTTTAAAATTTTTTTTCAATTGTTATAGTAATACATTAAGTAAAATTTTTAAAATGATTAGAAATAAAATATATTTATATGTGTTTTTTTTATATGAAGTTTATCTTACGTTGTATAAAAAAGGGAATATCCAAATTAAAAGAAGAAATGCAAAAATTTTTAAATATAAAGTAAATGTTTTCATTTTAATACTATTATAGTCTAATATTAAAGTTAGAGGTATTACTCCAGTTACAAAATAGCTTCTATCTTTACTAATGATAAGTTAGAGGTACGTAATATTGCTTTAGGTAATATTGTGACCTTTGTAAATTTTAAAAATTTTTAAAGTAAAAAATTATTCGTTTATATGAAATGTAATTCTTAATTTTTCATAATTATACATAATGTTACTTTTACATTGTAAGATTAATACTATTAATTTTTCAAAAAATAAAATAAATAAGAACGTATATTTATATGTTAAATAAAAAAATTTTTAAATATGTAAAGTTATTTTTAAAATATTTCATTAAAATTATAATCATCCTTAAAGTAGATAAAAAAATTATATAAGTTAATTTAAAATAAATTAAAATTATAAATTTTATATATTTAATATCAATGAATTCTTTTTTATTTTTTTCTTTGTTTAACTATTAGTTTCTTTACTGTGAATCATGCTAAACTTTAAATTATTATATATATAGTATTTGTTATTTATAGATATAATTTTAGATATATTGGAGATATTATATTTCTATCAAAAAAAAAAAAAAAAAAAAAAAAAAACACTATAAATTAAAAATTTTTCTATGCATGTATTTTTCATACAGTATACTATATTTGTAGTCATTTATAATTATATATGAAACTAATTTTTAATTGCGCATGTTTTTGCTTTAAATGTAACTATTTTGATTTTTCTATTATAATTTTTGTATCCTTATGTTTTCTTTTTATTTTTTGTTATTAATACATGTTTATATAATATATATATACATAATTATTTTTTATCATTATAATTATTTTTTAAAAAAATTTCCTTTTTCAATTACTTTTCACAAAATAAAAAAAAATTATGAAATGCACAAATTCAAAAGAAAAAGTGAAAACATATATATTCTGAAGAAATTATAATAATATATCACTAAAAAAGCACACTAAATTAATTACAATTTAAAAAAAAAAATAACTATTTTTTTAATCATATGTATGCAGTAAAAAGCACGTTTAAAAAAATGATTGCTTATTTTTTCTAAAATTTACCTTTTTAATTAATCTAAAAATTATGAAGAAAATTCTTTTTTATATGAAATATATTGTAAAAATATATATTTATAAATTTTTTTTTTTTTGTAACTAATAATTATAGGTACAAATATAAAATTTAATAAAAACGTTAATTATTATATTAACTAAAAAGATATATCTTTAATTAAATATAATGAATTTTTTCCTAGAAAATACAGGGGTATATATTTTCATTATAATACAAAATGTATCAATAAATAAATATAAAGCAGAATTATAACATATCCTTTTGCATGTGCATTATCATTGCCTTCTAGTTAAATGTGAAAAGAAAGTTACGTACCTTTTTTTTTATCCCTTTTATACATAATCTATAACTTATAATTATTATGAGATTGTATTTATTTTATTTTTTATTTTGTTATATTATATTGTAAACATTTTTAATGCTATTCTTTTATTTTTCCTTATCTTTCTCATAAAATATAAGTAACTCAATTATTGGATTATAAATAATATTATCGACCTATTTTAAATAATATTTAGATAAATATAGAAAAAACATTTTTAATTGTATATATCATATTGCAAGGAAAATAGGCATACATAAAAGCGTAAAGAAAGTATTTATCTTAAAAAAAAAATATTATCACTATAAGTAAATACTTTTAATAAAAACAATTTCTCTAAAAGTAAATGCATCTAAGAAAAAAAATACTTACTCTAAAAAGGAACAAGATATGAAAAAAATATTTATATACTTTATTATTTTATTTTTTTTGTATAAAAAATTAAGAATATAATATCAAATGTAACATACATGAGATATAGTCTAAACTATAGTAATTAATTCATGCATTTAATATTTGATATAAATAATAAAAGTGAATAATCTGATAATGATAAAATAAATAAAGCTTTTTCTACATGCTTTTTATTGATTTATTTTTTTCATATTAGCATGATCACTGAATGAATAATTAACAAATAATTTATATAATAAAAAAGAGTTCAGCAATTGTCTCCTTCAAATTTTACTTTCTTCTAAAATATTTAAGTGCTATAAGACATCTTTATAAGCATTAATAAAGAATTATATTAAGAACTTTTATCTTTTTAATTTAATTTGTAAGAATATTTGATATAACATAAATAAAAATGTATATGCATAAATACTACCTTTTTAATTTTTTAACACTTATTTTAAATTAAAAAATAGTCAAATATTTAATGAAAGTGCGTTTTCATGATTTATATTTTTTTATTATAATAAATAAATGCTGTTTTCCAACTAAAAATACGTAAAATATAATATTATAGTACATTTATACATATTGCTTCATGGTATTGAAATCTTTTAAATAATATATGTATTGTATATTTAAATATTAAAATTATCTAAACAATAGTCCATTAAATGTAGAAATTAATGTAATTATAAATAAGGTAATGTTCATAAAGTAAAAAATATTATTTATAACTATGGTTTGGTAATTGTAACATTAATAAATTAATAGTTAGATAATGCAATCAATTATATACCAATTCACAAAGGTTAAATAATACATAAATAATCATTTATATATACATATTATCATAGTTATTTCTATAGAAATAAATAATATATATATAATTCTTATTATAATAACGTATATGAAATAATTATACTAGTGTAAAAATAACATTCATGGCAATATATAATATATATATGGTTAATTAAAGGATTTATTAACTTTTTTGATGATAAAATTTCAATGTGGAAAATATATATTTATCCATAAGGAGAAGCTAATTAAAAAAAATAAATGAAAAATAAAAAATAGTTGATGTCTTTTATATATATTTTTTTCTTAACATAAATTATTAATTATTTTTTTAAATTTGAATATGTGTGAATTTTATAGAAAAAATTCTCAAAATTTTTTTTTAATATTTTAATAAAAGAAACCTTTCTATTTTTGAAAATTAAATTTTCTTTCTTTCCAGTAATAATTTAAGTATGTTTTTTTATTATTTTAAAGAATTGACTTGATTTTCTAAACACAAATCGTTAGAATAGTAATTAAATGTTTTGTACATGAAAACTAATAATTAAGGAAGGTTTATGTTTTTAATAAAAATATAGTGATTTTTACTAAAGTAGAAAAATAGTCCAGAAAAAAAAAATGAAGAACTTGTAAGAAAAAGAAACAGAATTAACAGTATAGATAAAAATGAAGAATTATACGAAACAATAAAGCAAGAGTGAAATATTTATAAAATTAGAAAAAGTGAATCAACTGTTATTAAGTTACAAAACAATGAAAATGGTATAGGGCTGTGTAAATTCCAAACAAATAATTAAAATAAATTGAAGAGAAGTACACTATTTATTAGATATTCTGTTAATAAAAGAAATTATTAACCTTGTTGATGATAAAAATAATTATTTATACGGAAAATACGTAGTTAGTTATGTGAGTGCTTGATTTATTAACTGGGTGTTTGTTGACTTTGCTAGAGTACTGTTTTATTAACTCGGCGTTCGGTGACTTTACTAGAGTACTTAACAAACAAATTAATAAAGAACATATAGAGTTGCCTCCACGGTTTTGATGTATTTGTTTATATTTTATATGCTTTGAATGAGTGATCCTTATTTACGTAATATACTTCATTCATCATTCTTTAATTTCAATAGGCATTTATTTACATTAATAAAAATCTTTATTCTTATTAAAAATTTAAATCCTTATTGAATATTGACTATTAATTAAATGTAAATTATTTGTTTCTTTATTATGAGTTATGTTCAGCAATTTAAATATATTGTTGTTGAATTAACAAATATAAACAATTAGTAGAAATGCAAATAAATTATATAAATATTAATTAAGTGAAAATTTTATTGTCATATGTATAAAACTTTCTCTCACAAATTAAAAATATAAATATTATGCAAATTAAACTATTTTATGAAAACATTATTATCTTCTTAAGATCTTATTTTTATTGCTGCTAAATCTTCCTCTCTATTTTAATTTTACAAATTTTTCTCTCTTTATTATCCAATTCAATCATTTCATTCATTTCATAAAAAAAAATAAATATCTTTCCTTTTTTTTTTTTTTACGTATCTTCATTTTTCAAAAGAAAAATATATCAAAAAAAAATTCCATCAATTTTTTTATTATTTGTGTGTATGTGTGCATGACAGACTTTGTATCCTTCATTTAACTAGTCCTTTTATTTTCCAAAAAGGTTAATGAAGCCTTTTATTAACCAATGGGCCAATATTAGTAAAGATATTGAAGAATACGTTACAAATTGTTTAGTTTGTCAAGTAATGCGTAATCGGAAATTTAAACCAAATAGTAATCAAGCTATATCAAAACCGAATGTATTTGATATAGTTTCATTAGATATTATAGGACCTAAAACATGGAAAGGTACAAAATACTTTATACAAGTAGGAATAGATCATCATTCACGTTTTATGGTGACTAATATAACTAATAAAACACCTAATGCTACGGACACAATTAACATTATAAAGAAAACATGGATACGCATATTTGGATTCCCTAGAAGTATTTTAACAGATCGCGGTTCAATTTACACTAGTCAAGAATTTCATGATTATGTTACAAAAGAATTACAGGTTAAATTGTGTCATACCAGCCAATATTATCCACAAGGAAACGGTATAAATGAAAGCTCTCATAAAAGCTTAGATTATATCATTAAGACTTTATATGAAGAAAAAGATCTACCTTTTGAAGAAATAGTACAAAATGCAATACTAATATATAATAATACACCTCATGGAGCTTTAGGAGAAACACCCTATTTTGCTATGTTTGGAATATATTGTATCTGTCCAGAGTCTGCAAAATTAGTACGAGAAATAACCTTTGAAATGAGGGTTATATACTTAAACGATAAATGGAAAAACATACATGAAGATGTTAATGAAATCAAAAGTAAACCTATAATTGAGAATAAAAATATTAAGGTTGGAGATATTATCTAATACGAATTATAGGAATACGAAAGGAATCAAATGAAATACTATAGTGGGAATATATAATATAAACCATATTGTTCATTTCCTCATAGAGTAACTAAAATTGAAAGCGGAATTCTGAAAACATTACCTATATATTATAGAGGTAAAGAAGAACAAATTCCAATGTCAAAAATAAAATTGTTGAGTAACAAAACCAGGGAAATATATGAAAGTCAACTGCACAATTTAATACAAGTGACAAATAAGAATAAAAGGAAATTAAATCTGACGCATGATTTGAAGTCTAAGCATTATCTAAATATTCATAAACGGAGTAGTATCATAGGGGACATTATCAACGATAATCAGAACAAGCAAATTGAAAAAGGAGTACAAAAAGGAATTTATGTAATAAAATAATACAAAAATAACAAACTTTAAGTAATAACAATTACTTTCCCATGGTGGTGGAGTATGGTTAATAAAAGGGCTAGTTAAATGAAGAATACAAAGCTGGTCATACACACACAGACAAAAAAAAATTGATGATTTTTTTTTTGTTTGTACTTTTTTTTAAAAAAAAAGTACAAATTCTGTCAGGAATAAAATTTGATAAAAAAATTGATTAAAAAATCAATTAGAAAAATATTTGTTACCAATAAATAAATATTAAAAAAAAAACAAAGAAAAAAAAACATTTTTTTTTTTGGGAATGAATTATGATTTTAATGAATTTTGTAAGAGAAAGTTTTATACATATAACAATGAAATTTTCATGTAATTAACATTCATATAATTTATTTGCGTTTTTACTAATTGTTTATGTTTGTTAATTCAACAGAAATATATTAATTGCTGAATGTAACTCATAATAAATAACTAGTAATTTACAATTAATTAATAATTAATGTTCAATAAGGATTTAAATTTTTAATAAAAATAAGGATTCCTATTAAAGTAAAAAAATGCCTATTGAAATTAAAGAATGATGAATGAAGTATATTACGTAAATAAGGATCACTCATTCAAAGCATATAAAATATAAACAAATACATCAAAACCGTGGAGGCAACTCTATATGCTCATTATTAATTCGTTTGTTCAGTACTCTAATAAAGTTACCGAACACCCAGTTAATAAAACATGCACAAATGTTTAATAAATAAAAATAAAATTGTTTTCTTTAAAATAAATAATCATAAAAATAAGTACTAAATATATAACGATAACCAGAATTTAATTAATCCATACTGAACAAATAAAGATACAAAAAATTTAAACCAACAAACTTCTAATAACTAAAAACTTAATAAATTTTTACTCAATAAACATAACCTTCACCCTTTTCCTTATAACTTGCATATTCCAAATAAATTTTTTAAAANCATATAAAATATATACAAATACATCAAAACCGTAGAGGTAACTCTATATGCTCTTTATTAATTCGTTTGTTCAGTACTCTAATAAAGTTACCGAACACCCAGTTAATAAAACATGCACAAATGTTTAATAAATAAAAATAAAATTGTTTTCTTTAAAATAAATAATCATAAAAATAAGTACTAAATATATAACGATAACCAGAATTTAATTAATCCATACTCAACAAATAAAGTTACAAAAAATTTAAACCAACAAACTTATAATAACTAAAAACTTAATAAATTTTTACTCAATAAACATAACCTTCAACCTTTTCCTCACAACTTGCATATTCCAAATAAATTTTCTAAAATTCAACAATAAAATTTTTATTAAATTTATACCATGACATATTATTCAAATAATTAATTTATCTGTTATCTTCTCTTTTTTTTTTAATATACTTTTTCATTCTTAATCATAATGTCAACTTAATAATATAAATAAATAAAAATAAAAAAAATTATAAAAAATGGTATATAATTATTAAATTTTTAATAATGAAAAACCATAAATATAATCATAAATATTCATAAAAAAATAGGTTTCACCTATAATATTCTTGCGAAAAAAATAATCAACTCCCATAAAAATCATATAAAATGCTAAAAAAAAATAAAACACATTTACTTTGCTCACAGACTTTCTCAGTAAATCATTCATTGTAATTTATATTGTAAAAATATAAATTTAAAAAAAAAAAAAATTGAATAAAATGATAAATTTTATTTTATTTTTTTTTTTATTGTTTTTTATCCAGAAAAATCAAGTTTCATAAATTCATCTCACACTTTTCATTCATTTTTTTTTTCAATGTAATGATATCTTGTTTCTAAGAAATTTTTGTTAAGAAACTATTGTTATTTTTATTTTCTAAAAACATTATAAGATATAATTTAAAAAAAATAATCAAAAAAGAATTTAAATTTTCTTGTATTCATAGTAAAAAATTCTAAAATAATAAAATAATATCTCAAAGAATGTCAAGTACATATATATACATATATTACCAAATAAAAATTGCTTAATAAAAAAACAAAAAGATTAATATAGTTATAATGAAAAAACAAGTGCATTACTTATTAACTTTAATTTTAGCTTTTTTTTTTTTATATATATATTTCTTCAAAGATATAACTATATTATAATGCACTAATTTGTCAGCAAAAATTTAAATATTAAAGTAAAAAAAAATTAGAATAACTTTAATCTTCGTTTAAAGTTTAATAATTTAACAACAAATAATATAGATTTTTATAATTGTAAGTCATTTTTCTATTAAACTTAAAATATTTTTTTTATGAAAATATATATGAATAATTAAAATATTATATTATAACTACTACTTATAGAATTTACATGTATATATATATATATATGTTTTTTTTTTTTTTTTTACGTATTTTATATTTTATAAAAATATTATTTAGATCCTTTATAATAAGAATTATAAGTAATTAAGTACATTATATTATTTATAAACAAACTATATTTTACTTTTTTAATTATATAAATTTACTATTCAAAAAAAAAAAATGCCGTAAAAATATTATATAATAATTAATTTCTTTATTCAAAATACAAAAATTAAATAATCATATCATTATTTGAAACTTACATTCATAATCATATGATTATATAAAAAATTTAAGAAAACACTGAAAAAACACTTAAAATAATTTCTTTTTTTTATACTAATTTTATTTTTTAATTATAATTTCATAACATAACATGATATTTTACTATATCAATTATTTTATTTTTTTTTTTCTTAATTTTAATTTTGTAAATTAAACTTTTGTTTTATTAATTATATTTTTTCTTGTTATTTGAAAACTAATGACATTATTTTTACATAAAATTAAAAATTTTATATTCAAAACAAAAAGCAAACAAAGAATTCCCTATATTCTAAATTAATATCTTATACTATATGAAATGCCAATTTCAAATATAAACAAATTTATAATATAGTTATCACATAAGTACATGTATTGTCATTTCTATGTAGAAATTATAACAATTTATCAACGTAATTCAAGTGTATAATGATGCTCAAAAATAACAAAAATATCTATATTCAATTTTTTGGTCAAATTAAATTATTTTTCTTCCTTAATTGGATTAACAAACATTTTTTTAACGTTTGATAAATTTAAAGTATAAAATACATACATACACATTACTTTTTGATTATCTTAAAATTTATACATTTATGTATAATTCACATAAAATTTTCTTTTATTTAATAAATCAATTTTTGGATACTACTGCAAAATATTTTGAGAAAGGCTTTTATGATGATATTATAATCATGAGAAAAAAATCAATCTTAAAGAAAGCAAGATATTTATCACAAGCAGAAGAAACTTCCTGTATAGTAGATAAACAATATAGTGAAACAAAAGAAAATGAAGATAGCTCCTCTAGTGAAAAAAGTAAACTCAATACAGAAATTAGAACATTTGATGAAGATACTAATAATGAACTTTATTTTTATCTTGATGACGAAGAAATTAATAATGCTACAGAAAAATGTCAAAAGTCATCCACATATATAAATTGGAGAGGAATGGACTTTGTTAATTTAGTATTAAATGAAGAAACAGATCATAATATCTCAAATCTTGTTAATTGTTGGAATAAAAAACAAAGATCTTTCGAGAAAAAAATACAGGATAAAACAACTTCAACATGCACTTTGAAACATTTTGATTATTGTGCTGTTTTGAAAAAAAATGATAACTGCACCAGTCCCTATAAAGATAGTGATATACCTGGGTTAATATCATTAACGTATAATCAACTCAGTGAGGAGCAATATGAATCAAATAAAACTAAAATTATTTATGATAGACTTACTAAGTTTACTAATATTACTAGTGATATATCTAATTACTATTATAAAGTATATGAAGCTAATAAAAGTCAACTTAATTGTGGAAAGTGGAGTATGTATATACATAAGAGAGGAAAACAATTTGTAAATATGGTGTACTATGAGTTTTAATTAAGCCTCTCATAGGTTGGTGTTAAGGGTAGCAAAAATTAAGAATATTCTTTTTTTTATTCAAATTATATATATNTCTTTATTCAAAATACAAAAATTAAATAATCATATCATTATTTGAAACTTACATTCATAATCATATGATTATATAAAAAATTTAAGAAAACACTGAAAAAACACTTAAAATAATTTCTTTTTTTTATACTAATTTTTTTTTCAATTATAATTTCATAACATAATATGATATTTTACTATATGAATTATTTTATTTTTTTTTTTCTTATTTTTAATTTTATAAATTAATCTTTTGTTTTATTAATTATATTTTTTTCTTGTTATTTGAAAACTAATGACATTATTATTACATGAATATAAAAATTTAATAATTAACACAAAAAGCAAACAAGAAATTCCCTTTATCCTAAATTAATATCATATTCTATATAAAATACCAATTTCAAATATAAACAAATTTATAATATAGTTATCACATAAGTACAAGTATTGTCATTTATATGTAGAAATTATAACAATTTCCTAATGTAATTCAAGTGTATAATGATGCTCAAAAATAACAAATATATCTATATTTAATTTTTTGGACAAATTAAATTATTTTTCTTCCTTAATTGTATTAACGAATATTTTTTTTACGTTTCATAAATTTAAAGTATAAAATACATACATATACATATACATATACATAACTTTTTGGTTTTGTTGAAATTTATGAATTTATCTATAATTCACATATAAATTTCTTTTTTTTAATTAATCAATTTTTGAATATTACTGCAAAATATTTTGAGAAAGGCTTTTATGATGATATTATAATCATGAGAAAAAAATCAATCTTAAAGAAAGCAAGATATTTATCACAAGCAGAAGAAACTTCCTGTATATCAGATAGACAAAATAGTGAAACAAACGTAAATGGAGATAACTCCTCTAGTGAAAAAGGTAATCTCAATACAGAAATTAAAACATTTGTGGAAGATACTAATAATGAACTTTATTTTTATCTTGATGATAATGAAATTAAGAATACTACAGAAAAATGTCAAAAGTCATCCACATATATAAATTGGAGAGGAATGGACTTTGTTAATTTAGTATTAAATGAAGAAACAGATCATAATATCTCAAATCTTGTTAATTGTTGGAATAAAAAACAAAGATCTTTCGAGAAAAAAATACAGGATAAAACAACTTCAACATGCACTTTGAAACATTTTGATTATTGTGCTGTTTTGAAAAAAAATGATAACTGCACCAGTCCCTATAAAGATAGTGATATACCTGGGTTAATATCATTAACGTATAATCAACTCAGTGAGGAGCAATATGAATCAAATAAAACTAAAATTATTTATGATAGACTTACTAAGTTTACTAATATTACTAGTGATATATCTAATTACTATTATAAAGTATATGAAGCTAATAAAAGTCAACTTAATTGTGGAAAGTGGAGTATGTATATACATAAGAGAGGAAAACAATTTGTAAATATGGTGTACTATGAGTTTTACTTGGAAGAATCTTTTAGAGAAGATTCTACTAAGAATTGGAATACTTATAGTAATAATTTGCAAAGTAGTATATTAAGGGACACAGGTAATCGATGTAATATGACATCACTAATTTATCAAATTAAAGAGCGACAAAATTCAACTGATCCATATGGTTTAGCTTGGATTACTCCAGAAAGCGATCAAAATACACCTAATGAAACTTTATCTAATACAACTACATTACCAGATAACTTAGAACCTACAATGGAAACTTCTAGTACACCACATGTTAGTATTGGTGTAGATCCATTATATGATGAGGCAAAAGCTAATATTGGCGGTTTTAGTGATTCTATAAAGGATCCCATAAATGCTATAGCATCACCGGATGATAAAGATAAAGATTCAATAGCTGAAAAAGCTGCAAGAGCTGCAGTTACTGCTTCTCTAAAAGATCCACCACAATCCAATTCTTTAACTCCAAATCATACAATACATTCTAATACTAATACTATATTTGACACAATCTCACCTTCACCTTCCCCTGAGATTGTAATATCTCCTACAACTAAAATATTACCTTCAGATTCTACTATAAGTAGTGGCAAACCTACAGTTACATCTTTACCTGAAGAAATATCTTCTACAAATATAACTGCATCTTCTACTACTATAGTTGAGTCATTTACAAATAATATTACACCTTCTAGTACTATCACTACGCCTCCTACAACTGCATCTTTACCTCCTGAAACTTCAACTTCTCTAGATAATACATTTACAGTTGACAATGAGCCTTCTATAAATAAAATGACATCTCCTATAACTGCTTTCTCTTCTAAGATTATACCTTCACATTCAACTATAACTACAACTTCTACAAATGAATTTAAAACGCCATTACATTCATCTACTCCCACAATTAGCTCTTCATTAAATGAATATGCATCTTCTTCAATATCTAATATCGCAGGTACTTCAATTGATACTGAATTACATACAAATGTTATTACACCTTCTAAAACATACACTTCACATCCTGAAACTTCATCTTTACCTTCTTCTGAAACTGCTGTAAATAAAATTATATCTACAAATGGCAATACATCTTTAACAAATGACTCTGAATCTCCTACAATTAAACCTTTACCTTCTCCCGAGGTTGAACCTTCTCTTAGAACTATAACTGGAACTCCTACAGATAGCTCTACACCTCCACTAACTTCATCTACTCCTATGATCACCACTTTGCCTTCCACAAGTAATTCTATATCTCCAACAGATAACACAGAACATCCGACATCTACAATGGACTATGCTATAAATGGTCAAATATCTTCATCAATATTTAACGCTACAGATTCTTTAACTAATACTGAATCTTCTGCGAGCAATACTACATATTCTGCAGCTACATCTTCTTTTTTCCCTGAAATTAAACCTTCTGCAACTACATCATCAACTTCCTCTGAAACTATATCTCCTATTAATCACGATTCTCCCACAGATGATATTAATACTTCTACAATTAATTATGAATCCATAAATAGTCCTGAAGCTTCTACAACAACACCTCAATCCTCTATCCCTGATGTTGTGTATCCTACAACTGTAACGGAATCTTTTAATGATAAGTCTATCCTTCCTACTACTGTTGTTACTCATGTAACTGCAACTTCACCTTTAACAAATAGTTCTACACATATTTCGACAAATACCATTGATAATTCTATTACTACCATTCAACCATTTACAAATGGAATTGCATCTTCTACAACTGACGATACATCTCCTGCAATTCACACTACTCCTGCATTTAACACTACATCTCCTACTTCTGGTATTATATCTCCAACTCCACTTTCGTATTATCCTGAAAAAACACCTATTCTCACAACTACGACTGCTTTTTTTCCTATAACAAATAGCAATTTACCTTCAAATCAGACAGATACTATCCAAGTGCAGAACCAACAAAATACACATGCCCCTTTTATACAGGCTCAACAACAATTACTTGAAAATAATACTGGATATGCTTCAGGAAGTCCAAATGCGACTCTTTCAAATAATTTTTTGACACCAACCCCATCAAATGAGCCTACCAATGTTGTACCTACAGTTAAACCTACAGGTAATTTATTAATACCAATGGTTTCAGGAGGTATATTTATTTTAGGAATTATTTTTCTTTTAGTTCTTCTTTGTAAAGTAAGATAAAATTAACATTTAAAAATAAAAAAACTTATATATTTAAAATCATAATTATATTAATTAAGAATTTTTATAATTTTTTATTTTTTAATTTGAATTATAGTATACTCCCATTGTATCTTGGATTCGTAATAGGAAGTCAAAAAAAAAAAAAGCAAGAAAAAAGATTAAGAAAATAACAAGGGAACCGTTGCTAATGGATACTAATAACACAAAGAATGAACCAATAAATAATGAAAATTATTCGTTCCTACACCATGAAAAAGAAATACCACTATGTGATATGGGTTTGAAAAATCGAAAAGATTTGAAGTATAAACAAGAAAAGAAATCCAAGGCACATAAAGGTATGTATATGAAAAATGAAAAAGATTTGAAGTATAAACAAGTGAAGAAATCCAAAGCACATAAAGGTGTGTATATGCAAAATGAAAAAGATTTGAAGTATGAACAAATAAAGAAATCCAAAGTGCATGAAGGAACGTATATGGAAAAAGAAAAAGATTTGAAGTATGAACAAATGAAGAAATCCAAAGTGCATAAAGGAATTTATATGGAAAATGAAAAAGATTTGAAGTATGAACAAATAAAGAAATCCAAAGCGCATGAAGGAATGCATATAGAAAATGAAACAGATTTGAAGTATGAACAAATAAAGAAATCCAAAGCGCACGAAGGAATGCATATAGAAAATGAAACAGATTTGAATTATGAACAAATGAAAAAATCCAAAGCACATAAAGGAATGTATATGGAAAATGAAAATAAATGCATTCGTGAAATTGTAGACGTATCAAATAAGCATGAAAATGAATTAATATTGGGAGAAAACTTATATGAAGATAATCCTAGAAATGAAATCGAAGAAAATGAATTGAATGTAAATAAATCTAGAAATAAAATCAAAGAAGAAAAATTGAATAAAAATATATTAGGAAAAAATACAGTTAATGTAGAGTATATTATGGAAAATACATTAAATGAGGAAGAAACAAATGAAATAAATGTAATAAAAGAAAAATATGAATGTGAAGATGAAATGAAAAATTTAGAAAATAAAAGATCAATTAATGATGAAGTACGTAGTTGGAATACATGGATAAATGTACATATGATAGCATTACTAGAGTGTAAAAAAGAAGAATGGAAATTGAATAAAAATGAATTTTTTAAAATTTGCTTAGAAGAGCTCAAGAAAGACGAAAAAAATACATATTTAAAAGAAGAGGGCAATAATTTAGCAAAGAAAGGAGAAGAAGAAAATATTACAGTTATGATAGAAAAAAATAGCAGTATTCTAGAGAAATGGAAAAAAGAAGAATGGTTCATTAATTTGAAAAAAGAATGGAAGAGAGAAGAAGAAAAGCATTTAAAATATTTAGAAGAACCAGAGATTGAGAATGTAACAGTAGAAGAAATAAGTAATCTAATGTTAGAAGAAAAAAAGAAAGTATGGAAGAAGTGGATAGAAAGACAAAGAAAACATTCACATATATACAAAAAACAGAATTGGTTTGAAAAATTGTTAGAAGAATATGAAAATGAAGAAATTCATAAAAATATAAAGGAAGAAAAAATTGAAAAAATAAATGCAGAAAAACTAGAGAAAGAAAGAAATAATGGAATAGATAAATCTGAAATGAAGAAAAATTTGGAACAAAAAATATTGATAGATATTCTCATGATGGTATTAGAGGAATGTATTAATGAAGAATGGGAAAAAGAAGAAGAAGAATTTATTAAAACAAACATACAAGAAATGAGAACACATGAAAATTTGGACGAAGAAGCAAACATATTAGATAAAATAGGAAAAGAAGGAAGTTGGAGTTCAATATTAGAGAAAAAAAAAGAAGAAATAAAAAAATGGAAAAAAGAAAAATGGTTTGTAGAGTTAATGTTGGATTGGAAAAAGAATGAACAGAAATATTTAGAAGAACTAAATAAAACGGTGTTTGAAAAAAAAAATGAAGAAAGAATAGCAAATATTACTTTAGAAAGGAAAAACATTTTATGGAAAAAACATTGGGAATATATTATTAAAAAATGGAAAAAGGATTATAACAATGAAGAGTGGATTACAAAGTTAGTTGATGAATATGAAAATAAAGGGAAAGAATATAAAAATGAAATTTATAAAAATAGCATAGACATAAAAAGAGAAAATGGAGAAACCAGGAAAAATTGTGAATCAATAATAGAGATTAATAAAAATACAGAAGAAAAAATGCGAAAACATGTAAGGAATCAACCAGAAGGATTTAACAAAAATATTAATTCTATAGACAGAAAAAAATTAAAATGGAAGGCTATAATAGAAATATATATGATAATATTGCAGGAATATAGAAAAGAGGAGTGGTCTATGAATAGAGGAAATTTTTTAGAAATTTGTTTAGAAGAATTTTTAAAGGAAGAAAAAGAAGAATATCTAAAAATAATAGAAAATGATTTAGCAGTGATGAGAGAAGGGGATGAAAACAACAGTACAATAATGATAGAGAAACAAAAACTTCTATGGAAAAAATGGGTAAAAAGAAATAAAAGCATGTTAAAGAAATGGAAAGACGAAGAATGGTTTATTATGTTGAAGAAAGAATGGGAAAATTCACAAGAAAAATATGAAGAAGCAACAAAAGAATCAAAAATGGTAGAAATAGAAGTAGGAAAAAATCCTATGTTAGAGAAACAAAAAATAATATGGAAGCGATGGATAAAAAAACAAAGAATGTGGTTTATAGAAAACAGTGAAGAGAAATGGTTTAATGATTTGTTAGACATATATGAAAAAGAAATGGAAAGTGAGGAAGGGATAACTAAAAGAGATGTAAAAAAAGTAAAGGAATTTCAAGAAAACATAAAGAAATTTGATCAAGAAAGAAATAATGAAGCAGACAAATGTATAAAGAAGAAAGCATTGATACAAAAAGTTTTCATAGAAATACATATGATGGTATTAATAGAATGTAAAAAGGCAGAATGGGAAAAGGAAAAAGAGAATTTTTTTAAAACAATTATAAAAGAGTCTGAAATACAAGAAAATCTAGGTGAAGAAGCAAATGTATTAGAAAAGGTAGGGAGAGGAAGAAGTTGGACTTCTACCTTAGAGAAAAAAAAAGAGGAAATAAAAAAATGGAAAAAGGAAAAATGGTTTTTAGAGTTAATGTTAGAAATGAAAAATAAAGAAAAAAGATATATTAAGGAAATAAATAAAGAAATGTTAGTAAAAAAGAATGAAGGTACAATTAAAAATCCGATGTTAGAAAGGCAAAAAATTATATGGAAAAAACACTGGGATGATATTCATAAAAAGTGGATAGAAAAAGGTAATAAAGAATGGTTCGAAGCACTATTTTATTAATAAAAGAATGAAGGGAATAAAAAAAGTAATATTTATAAATAAAGCATAAGAAAGAAAAATATGCGAATAGAAAAAATATTAGAGATTATCAATAAATATAATTATTGATCTTTTTGCATATTCATTATGAAATAAATTTAACTATTACTACATTTTTAATTATTAATTTATTAATTGTCCATTCAATGATTTGGTTATAATATAGATTTATTAATTTCCTGTTTAATAAATTTTTAGTATTAAGTGGGCAAATTAATGAAAAGCATTTAGAGACATCTGTACTTGTTTTATTTAGAATAAAATAAGTTATTACATAAGTTATTCATTTCTTTTAATATTATATTTTAATTCTATTATTTATTATTTAAATTAATTTATTCAATACAAAATAAATGTAACGTTTAATATTGCATTTTTTAATCTTTCATGCAAAATAAAAAAAATTCACATCACGTCAAGAAAAAAAATAATTATTATATTTTTTTTTAAGATGGTATTTTTTTTTTTTTTTGTATTAAAAGAAAAAAAAATAATAAAACTATCGTCATTTTTTTTTTATTAAAATTTCCCAAATTTCCATAACCACGAATTACAAAAAAAAATAATATATTTCTTTTTTATAATTCTAAAAACACAGAAAAAATAAAATAAATACATCTGTTTTTTTTAATGTAATAACTTCTTAATTCTTATTTCAGTAAGATTGTGATTTATTAATTGGCTATTCAAAGTCTTATGTAGTGCTTTAAATAGTCAAGTAAGTAAAAAGCATGTATAACAATCTCTATTTATTATTTTTATTATAAAATTAGTTTATATAGATAATTATATAACAATTATATAAAAATAAATTTTTAATAAATTTAAAATGTTTATTATAAAGTTTATATTTTTTAATACTCTTCTTAATAGTTTTTCACATAAAACTAATAAAAATTGCCATATTAACTAATCTGAAAAAAAAAAATTATAAAAAGAATTATCTTTTTTTTTTTTTAAAATAAAAAAGCACACATAATATTTTTTTATAAATTTGTTACTAATATTATCCATTTTATACAAACATAAATCTACTGCATTTCAGGAGGTATTCCTTTAATTACAAAATATTTTGTATTTTCATATTATACATGTAAAAGTTAATATGAGTATTTTCATGTGAATATCTCTGTAGATACCTCATAATTATCTTACATGTATCAGCAGTACTCTAAAATGAACCTCTTTATTCTGTAAGTTACTAAAAAATAAGTCAAGTCATTTATTGATCATTTTACTAGTATTGAACAAACAAATTAATAAAATATATATAGATAAAACTATGTTTGTTTTACTTATAATAAAAAAAGACATTGAAAAAAATTTTTATTTTTGCTAATTAATGTCAAATATGAATCACAATAGTTAATTATTATTTAATTTATATAATACCTTATAAAATGTAATTTTTAACATTACATTTTAAATCTTTTACAGAATAAAAAATTAATCTTCAAAACGTCAAAATAAATAAAAAGTATTATTTTTTTTTTTAGAATTTATTTTTTATGTCATTGACTTATGAGTTACCCGTTCATTCACTTTGTTAGTATTGAGTAAAAAAAATAATAAAGAGAATGTAAGCAGAACTTATTTTATTTTTATTAAAATAAAAATGCTCAGGAAATTATTTTATTCTTTTAATTAATATTAAATATTAATTACATTATATAAATGTCATTTTAGTTAATTTAAGCAATAGTTCATCTGTACCATATTTAGAGTTGCATTTTTAATATTTCATAAGGAAAATTATACTTTATATTGTTATTATTCTAATTAAAAGAAAAAAACAATTTTTTTTCAAAAAAAAATAAAATTATCATAAAAAAAAATATTTTTTTTTCTTTTTAAACTAGTGTCACCTACAAAAAAAAAAAAATATTATAAATATATCTACATTTTTTTTTTGTGTACTTTTAGAGCGAGTATTTTTTTTTTTTAACGTATATATTTTTCGTTCACTTATTTTTTCAGTTTACACATTTGTGTTTGCATATTTTCCTCCAATTTTATCTCGCACAATTAAAAATTCTTTACCTTATTTTATTTATTTATATAATTTTCAATGTCAGAAGATGGTATTATTCATATATAATCCACCTTATAAAAAATAATTATATTATTTAATTTTATTTTCAAGGACATATTTTATAATCTCTGGCCTTTTTTTAATATCTTCATGTTTTTTACAGTTTCCATTATCATTCAACCAATATATTATTGTAATACTTTTTTTATAAATGTCAAAATAGTTTTCAGGTTTTAATTCATTTATAGGTTATTGTTTTTTATTATTCTTTTCAGTTATATATAATAAAATACTTGATTGAGTTCCGTATATTCATTAGTTCTATTACCTAATAGCTTAATTTAAAAAAATTGAATGAGTGTTTTTTCCTCTACAGTTGTTCTCTAAGTAATATTATCAACCTTTTTCCAATAATATTTAAATAAATATAATAAATGAATATATTTCTATTAGTGCATGTTATGACTTTAGGAAAATGTGAAAATATAAATACGTAGAGTAAAATAAATACATACAGAAAACACATGTAAACTAAAAAAGAATACTTGCATTAAAAGTAATTACATTAAAAAAAAAATACTGCCTCTAAAAATACATGCACTACATAAAAAGAAAAAATATAGGTATATTTTATTATATGTTTTTTTTGTTTTCACATAAAATAATATATATATTTTTTTTTCTTTGATTGTACTTACAATAATAAAAGAATATATATATATATATTGTTCATTTTGTGTGATGTTCATATAAAAAAAAAGTAATTTTTATCATAGTGATTTTATTTTTTCTTTAAAAAAAGATTGACTTAAAGAGAAAATATTTTATTTTTTATGGAATAATGTTAATGTGAAATGTTTCTTTCTACGAAATACTAAAAATTCCATGCTAAATATTATATATATATTGTATTTTTTAAATTAGCTAAAATAATGACTAATGTAATTAATATTAATTTTTAATTAATAAATGTGCACAATTTGCTTAATATTTTATTTTAATTAAAAAAAAAAGTGGGACATTCTATGCATGCCCTTTATTAATTTTTTTGTAAAATACTAGTAAAGTTGATGAATGCACGATTTGTAAATCAACATATAAGAAAATATAACATGAGCTATAGGAAAAGCCCTATATTTTTCTTTGGTTAGAATGGATTATTGTTTTATTAACTGGATGTTCGGTGACTTTGCTAGAGTACTGAAAAAACAAATTAATAAAGAGCATGTAGAGTTGACTCTACAGTTTTCATGTATTTATATATATTTTTAAATGCTTTGAACGAGTAATTCTTAATTATGTAATCTTCTTCTTTCAGAATTCTTTAATTTCAATAGGAATTTATTTACTTTAATAAAAATCTTCGTTTTTATTAAAAATTTATATCCTTATTGAATATTAAATATTGAATATTGATTATTAATTAAATATATGTTACTTATTTCTTTGTTATGAGTTATGTTCAACAATTTATATATATTGCTGTTGAATTAACAAACATAAACAATTAGTAAAAATGCAAATTAATTATATGAACACTAATTACGTGGAAATTTTATTGTCATATGTATAAAATTTTCTCTCACAAATTCAAAATATACATATTATGCAAATTAAACTCTTTTATGTAAATATTATTATCTTTTTAAGATCCCATTTTTATTTGTACTAAACATTACTCTCGATTTTTATTTTGCCAATTTTCTCTCTCCATTCAATCATTTAAAAAAAAATAAATATATTTTTTTATTTTTACGTATCTCCATTTTTCGAAAGAAAAATATCTCAAAAAAAAAATTAAATTTTTTTTTTTTTTTTCTCGTGTGCACAACCAACTATGTATTCTTCATATAGCTAGTCCTTTTTATTACCAATAAGGTTAATGAAGCCTTTTATTAACCAATAGTAGAATAATGTGAAACATTTAGTTATCGTTGAAAATAGTCTAAGACTTTAATTATAATTTAATATAAGGGTATTATAAGAATGAATTCAATTGATACAGGAAAATTATATGCATAAAAATGTAGAGTGATAGAATTTAATCTATAATTTTAACATATTAAAGGAGTTCAAAATGGTTTACCTAATTGGATTCCTAGATCTATCAAAGATGAAATTGATTTTTTTAATTGCATGGGTTTATATTATTATAAACCTCAAAGAGTATACGAAGATTTATATATTATGCAATCTTGTGAAGAAATTGCAAATATTTCAAGATAAAACAAAATTGACATACTATGAAATGTGTTATGGAAAGACAATTTTCTAACTATAGTACAGTAATATTGTGCATATTAGAAAAATATAGGAATCATATAATGTATTAATTTCACGGTTGTAAATTTTCGGGACATTGTGTAGTAAATAAAATATTAAAGAAGGTACAAAAACACTTTTCGTGCTCTAATATTAGTAAACATATAGAACAATGAGATAGAAATTGTTTGATTTGTTATGCAAGCTCAATAGAAAATTTAAACATAATAACAACTATGCTTTATATAAATATAAAGCATTTGACATAGTTTCATTAGATATCAAAGGACCCAAAATATGGGGATCTGTGAGATGCTTTATGCAAGTAGAAATTGATCATTACTCATGTTTCATGGTGATAAATATAACTAGTAGAATAATCTTTAACAAAAGGCTTTATTAACCTTTTTGAAAATAAAAAGACTAGTTAAATGAAGAATACAAAGTTGGTCATACACACATAAAAAAAAAAAGAAATCTTTTGGAAAAAGATTTGTTACCAATAAATAAAAATAAAAAAAAAAAAAAGAAACTTTTTTTTTAGCAAGCAAATGAAATGTTTTTATGATGAATTTTGTAAAAGAAAATTTTACACATATAACCATAAAATTTTCATGTAATTAATATTTGTATAATTTTTGATATTTGTAAATAATTGCTTATGTCTGTTAATTCAACAGCAATATATATTAATTGCTTAATGTAACTCATATCAAAGAAATAAGTAATTTACATTTAATTAATAATCAATGTTCAATGAGCATTTAAATTTTTAATAAAAATAAGGATTCCTATTAAAGTAAAAAAATGCCTATTGAAATTAAAGAATGATGAATGAAGTAGATTACGTAATTAAGGATCACTCATTCAAAGCATTTAAAAATATATATAAATACATCAAAAACGTAGAGGCAACTCCATATGATCTTTATTAATTTGTTTGTTCAGTTCTCTAATAAAGTAACCAAAAATCCAGTTAATAAATCAATATCATAGAAGCACTATAACAAATCTTGGTTCATTTTATACGATTCAAGAATTTCATTAACATATTACTAAAAAATTACATATAAAGTTACATCATCAGAGCATATCATCCATAAGGAAATGGCATAAAAGAAAGCTCTCATAAAAGTTGAGACTATATAATTATAACTTTATATGAAGAAAAAGACTTACCTTTTAAAGAATTGGTATGTAATACACTATTAATATATAATAATATAACTCAAGGAGTAGGGGAAATACCATTATTTTCTGTATTTGTAATCGGCTGTATACGATATGTATAATAATAAAATACCATAAATTACTTTTGATGTGATACTCATTTATTTAATTGATTGATGGAAAAACATACATGAAGATATTAATGAAATTAAGAGAAAATCTATAATTGAGAATGAAGACATTAATGTTGGAGATATTATTTCTTATGAATTGTCAAAATAAAAAGAAATAAAATAAAAATTTACAGTAAAAATACACAATACAAACAATATTGGTTATTTCCACATAGAGTAACTAAACTCGAGAATAGAATCTTAAAAGATACTCCTATATATTATCAAGGTAAAGAAGTACAAAATTTATTAACAAAGACCAAACTATTGAGTAATAAAACTAGGCATTTTTATGAAATATAATTTGGAAATTTAATACAAATCTTTAACAAGAGTAAAAGAAAACTAAATTCTATGCATTCTTTAAAGCATAAGGAATATTTCTATATTTATTAACAAAATAGTATAACACCTTATGAAATTAGTAATGATGAGAACCAAAAAATTGGAGAAGTATAAAAATGAGTTGATGTAATAAAACAAGCTAAAGAGAACAAAATTTAAGTAATAACTGTTACTTTTCCTTGAGTATTGTAATATGATTAATAGAAGGTAATGTTAATCTGTTTTAGTGTAAAAAGTAATAACTACACGGAAAATAAATAGTAAACCATACATGTACTAGTTAAAAAAAAAATTGCTAATATTTTTTTTCTTTTTGTAATTTTAAAAATACTTAAAAAAATATATTTATTTTTTTTGAAAATGATTTGGTGGTAAAAAAAAATACAAGAATAGTTCACAAAATGTTTCTTGTAGTACATTTTATTTTAAATTTACATGAGAAAATTTTATATCAACAATAATAGAACTTTCATGTTTTGTAGTATTTATATAATTTATTTTGTATTTTGTTAATTATTTATATTTGTTAATTTTAGGGAAGTGGGTTTGCATTGCTAAATGTTACTAATTATAAAAAAATATATGTGATTAAAAATCAATAATTGAAAATAGTATTAAAATAAATAAGTTCATTCATTTAGTAGAGGCAACTCTACATGTTCTTTATTAATACGTTTGTTCAAAATTATAGCAAAGTTATCTAATAGGAAATTAATAAATCACCTACACAGTTTCAAAGAATAATCGAATATATTCTTATAAACTTAATTAGAGAAAACTGTGCAATTGTGTATATATACGATATCATCATTTAATCAAAAACTACATTTCAGCAATTTAAAGAAATTTTTTTTTTTTTTTTTTTTTTTTTTTTTTCTTAATTGTACAATAAAAAAATTAGACTACCTTTTAGAGTTATTTAATAATTTTAAAACTTCCCAAATATCAATTAAAAAACATATATATTTATATATATTTTTCTATATTGAAATTATTCAACAGTAGAGTATTTTTGCCTTGTTTTTAAACTTTTTTAAAAATAATATATACTTTGAAATTTATAAAACATTTATAAATTTACTAAATTCACAACACATATAACTTTTTACATGCACAAAAGTAGCTTTTTTTTTTTTTGATTTTTATTATATGAACTACGCAATAATCCTAATATTATATTTTTGTATATTATAATTCATTTATTTATTATTTTTCTTTAGACGAATAATTATCTATATCATTCAAATCACACATTAAATGAAATTTTTTTTATATTATTTTTTCAAATATAGAAAAAATATCCTAAAGATTAAATAAAAAATACATTAAGGAAATTTACGGGAATTTATATATATTTTTATATAATCCGTTTGCTTATTTATATGCTTAAATTTTAAAATAGTTTCGAAACTGAATCGTTTTAAGTTTCTTTCTTAATTTACTTTCTTTTTCCTTTTTTTTTTTTTTTTAATTTTCCATATAATTTTTTTTTTTTTTTTTTTTTTTTTTTTTTTTTTTTTTTTTTTTTTTTTTTTCTTTTTTTAATTACACAAATTTTTTAAAAAATGAAAAAAAAAAATGTATTTTGTTTTTGAATATATTTATAATTTTATATAAATATTAACTAACAAATTGTGCATTTCTTTTATTTCAAACAATATTTTATTGATCTAAAGCATCCATAAATTTTGTAATTTTAATTTTTTTTTTTAAAAAACAAAATTAATTTAATATATTTGGTTAGATTTTTCTATTAATCTTTTTTAGATAATTAAAAAAATATAGAAAAAAAAAAATATACCTATATTCTCTAAATGTTAATTTAAATTTTTTTTTTTTTTTTTTTTTTTTAATGACTCTAAAAATGAAACTGTTTCAGCTTTAAGTTCCGAATAATAAAAATATATCATTCTTAATATTTTAAAATAATACCAAAAAATTGTAGATTAAAAAAAAAAAAAAAAAAAAAAAATTTAAAAAAAAAAAAAAAAAATACTATTTTTTTAATAACATATTTAAAGTAAAAAATATTTTTTAAAAAAAGTTTTTTGACAAATTNNNNTATTTTTGCACTTGTTTTTGAGATATTTATTATATGTTGTATATGCATTATATATAAATCATACATATTTTTAAATAACTAAATGCATAATCAGAAATGCAACTTAATAAAAAAGGTATTTAAAACCAATAAAATTAGTGGACATTTTCATAAATATCTTTTTATTAATTTGTTTTTTAAAATATTTCATAAAAGTCTTTAAATGAATAGTTAATAAATGATGGTTAAAGTAATTCTTACAAAATATAAAATCAATATATACAACTATGTATACTCTCATTAATTTGTCCGTTAAATACTCTGCAAATTCCTTTAAACACAAAGTTAATAATTTAATTGGTAAAGATGTTACTTATTCACATAGATTAATAAACTAATTTATATAAAATTGTTATATTAAAAATCTAAAAAATTTAATAGAAATTAAATATTTTTATCATAAATTCTATACTTATATCCAAAAAGAGTATAATATTAAATTATAACCCAAAAAAAATATTAAAACAGAAAAAATAAATAATATAAAATTTAAATATAATAATAAATGCTAAATTTCAAAATAACTAAATTTCAATAGCATTAAGTTATAACTTATTTGAATTTTGTTGAAAAAAATGAAGTTAAAATAGAAACTAATTTTGACTCTTAGTTTTATTAAACAATGAAAATATTTTAAATAAAAATAAAGAATAAAACAAAAAACTACAATATTATAAAGATAGTCATTCACATCATATAATTAAAAATTTTGTAATACATAAGAAAAAATTTTTTTTATGTTCATTTTAACTTTTCAAATATTTGTAAAACTGAAATTAAAATTAATAAAAAAATTATTTTATTATAAATTTTTATTACTGCTAACAGAATTTAAAGAGCAAAATGTTGTATATTTTTAACAATTTTTTTTTTTTTAATTTTTCAACAGTGCCTTTTCTGGTAATTTAATTATTTAATTTTATGTCAATTTATATTTCAACATATTCATACATTTTGTTTTTGAGTTTTTATTTTTTTTAAATGTAATTTTTATATTTATTCTATTAAAATTTTTTTAATGCATGCAATACATGGATTGATATTTATAATAAAAAAAATTACAAAACAAAATATGATGTATCATTTAGTTTTATATTACATTTTATTAAAAATATTAAATAAAAAAATTGTATATATAATTTTTAATTTTACTATGTTAAAATATAAAGTTATTCTTACAACATGAATCCCCCCAATTGTTTTAATTTATTTTTAACATTCAATATTAAGCAAATGCTTATTTTTTTTAAGCACCATTTGACAATTGTTTGAATTACTTTTAGTTTCATTATTTTGAAATGACCTTTAATAGAAAAGCTTAATTCTAAAATACATTCATTTGTAATTTAACGTATATTTAATGTTGCAAAGTCAGTATGAGTTTATTTTAAATTTGAATTCAGCATTCAATTAATCATAAGTAAAAAGAAATTGCTAGGTGAAAATTTAAAATGAAGATTATTTTTATAAAATAAACCATTTGAATAAATTTAAAAAAGAATAATAAATTGCAAAGAATGAAGTTAAAAATTAGAAAAGTAAAATTATAAATTAACATAGAATTATAAATTAGAAAAAGTAAAATTATAAATTATAAATTATTAATTGTATATTAGATAAAATTATAAATTAGAAAAAAAATTTTGTAAGGTTGTATAAGTAATAAATTGATATATTAAAAGAAGTAAAAAAATTTTAATGGAATATTTTGACAAAAGCAATTATAATTTATTAATTTATAATCATTTTACTTTATATGCAATGAAAACATTTTAATATTATATGCTTATGTTTTTATTAATTTTTACATGTATATTATTGAGTAGTATAACATAAGTTAATTTTTTTTTTTATAAAAATGAATATCTTAAAAGCTTTTAATTTTTATATCATATTATTGGTTCCTTACTTTTTAGTATTTATTCCTGACTTTCGTTTATCACCAAAATCATTAAAACATATATTACAAATAGATTATCATGAAATGAAATTAATATCAAAAAGAAATCTTGCAGAAAGTATTCCATATGTACGTGAATTTTATAGTAAAACTACAGACGATAACACATTTATAGAAAAAGATATTTTCATAGATAAATTCCCATATGCAGAGTATCTTTTATCTCTAGAATTATTTAATAAAGTGTATAATGAAAATTATAGCATAGAACAAGCTACAGGTAATATGGAAGCTATGCTTGAAAAAATTAACAGTAGATTTCATTTTGAAGGAATAAATATACCTCTTTCTGAAATGTTTAATATAATAAACAGAATGACTGAACGTACTATAGAATTTTCTTTAGAATCACCTGAGACTAGGAAAACCCTTTTCAAAAAAATTCTTGAATTGGAGAGAGAAGCAACTGAAGAATTACTGAAAAGTTTAATTACTGGTGATGAAGAAGTAAAAATTAATAATAGAGATAATATGGATAGAATATTAGAAATAGTGCATATAGAGGTACCAGAAAAGTTACCACAGGGATAACTGGCTTGTGGCTGCCAAGCGCT